TATATATATATATATATATATATATATGCATTAAATTTCTCTCTATAGAAAGGTTGAATTTAAATTTTGATATGGACTGAGAATCAAACCAGGGTCTAAAGTTTCCATCTTGTTCTTAATTTCTCTGATTCAAACTATTCTATTATTAATATTTGTCTCCCAAACTTTCAGCATGTATATAGAAGTTAACAATATCAAAGAAACAATGAAGTTTTTATAAAAGTACCTAGGACATAGTTGTTGAATGAATAAATAACTATTATAAAGAATATATATTGACCCATTGAAAATACGGTGTTATACTAATCATTTAAATTAATTACTTCCTTAATATCATTTTTTAAAAGAGTTATTTTATTTAACTTTATTTATTTTATTTTAATTTGACCAAATAGGGACAAAGTGAGAGGAAGAGAGAAAGAGAGAGACAAAAAGTGAGAAAGCAAGCTGCCAGGTCTAGAACTTGAACCATGGTTGGTCATGTGGGAATCCAGCACCCTTAACCACATGCCACCTACTGGCCCCTTGGCATGTTTTAATACATCTAAAAATGATAACAATGTGAGGAAACCCATATGATAGTTAGCTAGATTTAGTAATTTCACAATGTATATATACTTCAAAACATTTTGTTGCACTTGGTAAACACACACAATTTTTTACAATTATTTGAACTCTTATTAATTCTTTATAAAACATACCATGAATATATAATATAAAAGAGGTAAACAAAAACAGTGATGTGAAAAGAAAAACCTTAGAAATATTGCTTGACTATATTTTTATGATATTTAAAATGTCTTTATATATGTTGACTTCTTTTATTTTTATTATTATTTCAATTTCTTTTATGCATTCAATCACATAACTTAGCTTGCAAAATGAAAAATTCAACATGTGTACACTTCACACCAGTCCAGTTGACAAGTTGACAATACTATAAGGTTATCCCTCAACAGATAATAACCCATTACTTTGTCCCATAAATGCCTTGCCTCTCTATTTTTCTCTTTATTGTCCTTCCTCAGACTCTACTCCACTCTCCCTCTCCCCACCCTGTATTCACAACCATTTGTTATGTTTCTATATCCTTTAGTCATTCAGTTTAAACCACAGAGTATAGACAATTGGTAAATATTAAGTGGAGGCATACAATTTTATCTTTCATTTAAAAAACTAAAAATTATGAAAAAGTAATACAAAATTTGAAAGCTAAAAAAGAAGTA